AATTGTTGGAAATCCAATTTTCTTTAAGTACTTACTAGTATGTTGCCTTTCCTGTTTCTATTACTTGCACTATTAAGCTTGTTGTTAGCTTAGGAAAGCATGTCTAAGTGACTTAATTGCTTCATTTGATTTAACCTGTCTTACTTGAATTATGTGCAGTATGCTAGGCTAGAATCACTTATTGCCTTAATATGAATTTTGCTATTTCTGTTTAACTTCACGCTGCTGCTGTGTATTTATTTTGGGACTACGGATGTGGGATTCCGATAACTCCCCCTTGCCTGTTTACTTTGGGACTACGAGTTAATTCCCGGTAGATCCCCCTGCACATTTACTTTGGGACTACGGGTTAGATTCCCGGTAGATCCCCCTGCACATTTACTTTGGGACTACGGGTTAGATTCCCGGTAGATCCCACTGCACAGTTATATGGAACTACAAGAATGCACCCGGTAGATTCCCCCAGTACTGGGTATTTACATTTGGGACTATGGATCGGGATTCTAGTAGATCCCTGCGCATTGATAGTCGGACTACAGGACGCGATCCCGGGAGATCCTTCGGACATATATATGATGGACTACGGGACGATATCCCAGGAGATCCACTGGATAGTTGTAATTGGGACTACAGGATGGTATCCTGGAAGGTGCCTCGGTTGTTGTCTCTGTGTTGAGCTATATTTATTTCCGTGGTTTGTTTTGTCTCTGTTCTAGTTGTTGTTCTGTCAATTCTATGTTATTTCTTACTGTTGCACTTATTTATACTGTTTTATGCCACATTGTTAACCCTTATATTGTATTTAACTTCAGTAGGGCCCTAACCTTCCTCGTCACTACCCAACCGAGGTTAGGCTTGGCATTTACTGAGTACCGCTATGGTGTACTCATGCCTCTTCTGTGCATGTTTTTCATGGGCAGATCCAGATACTTCTACTCAGGCCTACCATCCTTGAGGGAGACGACTACTTAGAGACTTCGAGGTACATCTGCCGCATCCGCAGAACGAGGAGTCCCTTTCTATTCCTACTTTCTAGTATTTATCCCTTCTGTACTTTCTATTCTTATTAGACAAATTTCGAAGTTAGAGCTATGTAGTATCTCTTTTTTTTCTTAGCTTGTGATTCGTGGGTTTCCGGGTCATGGATTTAGATATTGGTTTTGAGATCTATATAAATATGGTGTATGCCGAGTGACACATTTAAAATCGTTATTGCCTTATTTCTGTCTTTAAATTGTTTTATTTTCGCAAATTTTGGTTTTCTTCCACAATTTAGGCTTACCTAGTCGTAGAGACTAGGTGCCGTTATGATGGTTCACGGAGAGAGAACCGGGGTCGTGACAAGTTGGTATCAGAGATCTAAGTTCATAGGAGTCATGGATCACAAGCCGGTTTATTAGAGTCTAGCTGATCGGTACGGAGACGTCTGTACTTATCTACGAGAGGCTATGTAACTGTTAGGAAATTGTCCACTTCATTTGATTCCTTGTCGTGCGATATTTTGACATCACAATTCAGGTAATTCGGACGTGGTTTGGTCGACTTTTTGATCGAAAGCGGAATTTAGAAGATTTTGGAATTCTTAGGCTGGAATCTGATGCAAATTTGGTGTTTTGATGTTTTTTTGAGTGTTCCGAAGGTTGGAACAAGTTTGAATAATATTATGGGATAGGTTGGCATGTTTGATTGAGGTCTTGAGGGCCTCGGGTGAGTTTCGGGTGGTTAAACGAACCATTTCATTTTGAAAACAATTGCAGAACAATCTATTGTAGTGTTGCAGACAGCAGTGCTTCGTGTTCGCGAATGGACCCTCGCATTCGCGAAGGGCTAGAGTGTGAGGCTGAATGTTTAGCCTTCGCGTTCGCAAAGGAGGTCCCACGTTCACGAAGGGTTAGGGTCGTCAAGTTACGTGTTAGCGAGAGGAGAGCCGCGTTCGCGATGGGCTGGGAAGCTGAGCCCTCGCGTTCGCGATGGTGGAGACGCGTTCGCCAAAGAGGGATTTTGGTCAACTTAAATTTGTGCTTCGCGAACGCGAGGCTTTGACCGCGTTCGCGATGAAGAAATGTTAAGTACTGGGCAGAATGTTTAAAAAACCCATTTTCGCAATTTTGGATCTAAGTTCCTCCATTTTTGGGCGATTTTGAATCTTTTTGAAGGGGATTGAAGAGGGAATCAAGGGGGAACACCTTGAAGTAAGATTTATGGACTTAATACTCAATCTTAATGTGATTTATACCTAATTAATAATGGAAATTATTGAATTTAAGCCTAAATATTGAAGAACTAGGGCTTGTAATTGGAGACCTAAAATTAGGGATTTGAGGGATCATTTGTGGCTGCATTTTGATGATTTTGATATGAATGAACTCGGGGAGTGATAAGGAGTCTATTGATGTAATTTTTATCGGGATCCGAGATGTGGGCCCGGAGGTCGGATTTGGCCAATTTCGTGATTTGTGTTGTAATTTGATTTCTTTCGAGTGGGCTTTATTTCCTTAGCATATTTTGAAGGTTTTGCATTGATTTTGGTTAGATTTGGAGCATACGGAGGCTGATTCGAGAGGCAAAGGCATCGTAGGCTAGAGTTTAAACCGGATAGAGATGAGTAATGATTTTAAATGTTGTCCTGAGGGTAAGAAACCCAAGATTTCACATTGTTGTGCTATATTGAGGTGACGCACACGCTAGATGACGAGCGTATGGTCATTCACCATTGGGGATTGTGACTTAAATGATTATTTTACTGCGTATTTGATTGAAAATTATTTGTTATCATCATGTTTTGGGTTGAATGCCATATTTGGGCCTTCACTGTTTTGATTTTATATTTGTACTCAGTCATGTTATATTATACTGTTTTCGTAACTCAGCCATGTTTACTCTGTTTTAACACTTTAAATGATATTTTGGGCTGAGCATCATATTTTACTATGCCTGAGCGGCTTTTAGAGATTTCTGATTGAGTAGGGCCGAGGGCCTGTGTTGTGAGGTTATTATAGGATCGGGCTACACACCGCAGCATTGTTGTACTGATTATGATTATGAGGCCGAGGGCCTGAGCTGTATGCCACAAGGTGGCTTGATATGAGGCTGAGAGCCTATTTGGTTATGCCACGAGATGGCTTGATATTGCGCTTGAGCCGTAGGGGACCCCTTCGGGAGTCTGTACACTCCCAGTGAGCGCGGGTACCCAGTGTGATATGTGATATAGCCCGAGGAACTGGTGTTATTCTATGTTATTGCCTGAGGGGCTGATTCTATTGACATTGTGCCCGAGGGGCGGATTTTATGTGTTTATCTGTTCTCGCTGCTTTTCAATTACTTGTTTAACTGTTAAAATGTGTTTTAAAGAAGCTTATACTGAACTAAGGTGTTTTTATAAGATTTCACTGTTTTATTGCATTTTATTGGTTTTACTCTGCCTCTTTATAGCATGTTGTTGTATTTTATGTGTTTTCTTATCTCTCAGTCTTAATTTATTTTTATTACTCACTGAGTTGGAGTACTCACTTTACTCCCTTCACCCGGCATGCAGATTCAGGAGCTTCATTTCCCGCCAGTGAGGGTCGATTGCTCCCAGTAGGCTATTCGGAGTCTACTAGGTAGCTGTTCTGCGTTCGCAGCCCAGTGTTTCTCCCTCATATCTTACTTTCTATTTCTAGTTCTGTAATAGACTATATAAACTCTTTCAAACTCTTAGACACATGTTTAGATGCTCATGACTGGTGACACCCCGATGTCGGGTTGTGTTTGTTTTGTAAATTGTACTATTTTCACTATTTCTTTTGAGATTTAATCGTGTTAATGACTTAAATTGTGTTATTTTAATTGTTTAAAATGAATTGGGTATTGCGTCGGCTGATCTTGTCTTCATGAGAGGCGTCATCACGACCGAATTAGGGTTTAGGATCGTGACATTTATAACAACATTTCACTATAGCTGCTAACTTTTTCTAATCCATTTATCATGTTATGTTATATGTTAACCCTCAATAACCACATTTTACAAATAATAATAGCGATCATCATTATACCAATACATTTTATAAAAAATTATTTCTTGCTAACAACTCTACTCAAATATTAAGTAATTATGCATTTTACTATATTATGCTAGTTCTAGTTAATTTTAGTAAATTTTTCAAAATTACTCTATTTGGTTGAGATAAAAGATTCAATTGTTAAGTTCGTAGACTTTCTTTAGAGAAAACTAACGGATACCCTTGCTGAAAGTTGGCAAAAATCTTCGCCACTTGATCAAGCGTTATATTACCAGAAGTGACTGAAATCTAACAATCAAGCTACAATTATAGATTTCTTTCATTAATTTTGAATTATTTTTGTATCCAATTAGTTTTCCAATATGTATGTGTATTAGAGAGTTTATTTGTTTGTAGGCACAATAAATCTAGTTACCATGGATTTTAATAATACATTAGCTTTTTTAAAAATTTATGTAGTAAAATATGAATATATTTTGAGATTTTAAATTTAAATATTTTATTTTCTTTTATTACATAAAATGTTTGGAAAAATGATTATTTTTATAATTTTGTATATAACAGTCAAATAATATCTAAATGTAAAATAATATTACAAGTGTATAATAATCATTTCGCTAAAGCAAATGCAAACAAACAATATTATTATAGAGTGATTTGACTATAATTAAAAAACTTGGCTGACATATTTTGTTGGTTATTTAATAAAATCTAAAATATAATAAATTGGCAACAATACATTTTTATTGTTGCCAAAACGTTTGGTATTGTTGGTGAAACACTTGATTTTCTCTACAACTAATTACGTATATTTAGGGGCTACCGTGACAATATATATATATATAAGATAATTTACTAAAAATTTATAAATATTTAATGATAAATTTAATTATGATCATAAATTTACTTAAGGCAGTTGTAGGAAATCATAAACTTGTATATTGAAGAAAAAAATTAGGACCGAAATTTTGGCGTAATTTTTTTTGTTTCTTTTCAACTTTTCGCCAAAAAGCAAACGCGGCAAAAATAAAACATTTCCTCATTTACTTTTCACTTTGGCTCTAGGTTTTCTCCTTTCAATTACACAGTTACAATTAAAATTTTTGTTTGGTATCTCTCTTCATGTTTCCACCTCAAAATCTAGGTTACTTCTGAAGGTTAATTTATCTTCTCTTTTGTTAATGTATTTATATTGAAGAACAATTTTAGGAATTCAAACAATCAATCAAATTCTTTACAATCTTATTTATTTAGGGGTTTTTGTTCTTCGTTTTGTATTTTTGGGCAGATTTTAATTATCCAAAGTCCATCGAAGATATGTACAAAGCAATTACGCCTACTTTCTACTCCAAGGTTTGTGTTAGGGTTTCTCTTTTTGCTCGGAATCATTGTCTTTCTATACAGTAAGTAAGTAATTTTAATTTGTGATAGCCATCTTGCTTTTGAGAAAATGAGGAATAGGGTAAATATGAATCGAGCATTTATGCTAATTTTAAGAATTTCTGTATTATGCTCTTATGTGAATAGGACAAGTGCTTTGCTTTGCTAGTTTCCAATTTTCAGAATTTCCCTATCGTATTGATATGGGTAGTGGGTAAGTTCAAGAAATCTTTATTCTTTCTTTAGCTCTTCCTGAATTTCTTTTTGGTATGTCTTTGTTAAGCATATGATTTCCCAAAATGTCAAAATGGGCATTGGGTAGTTGAATATATTTGAAGTATATCTTTAAGTTTTTCATTATAAATTTTACTTTAAACATTTGCTAACTTTATTTAGTGTATTTTGGTAGTTTATGATGTAACATACAATGTGTATTTATATTAAAAATATTAGGAAAGAAAAATATCATGTGTAACCTATTATAATTGGAGAACTTGTTCATAGTTTTGTTTTATACTTTGCCAATTACTAGGTACTAGTCAACCATATTAAAAGTTAGAGCTATAATAGTTATACCTGCGATAACTTTTCTAGTAGACTTGGAATCAGATATCCTAGAAAAACAGAGTAGAAATGTCATCGGTCTTCCTTTGACGGCTCTCTCTATAAGCTTAGTAGTCTAGCTATAGATTACAATTGAAAGTTAACACCAATCACCAATTCATATCAGGATTATCTTTAGAAGAAAAAGATAATATTTTGAGAAAATCTCATCCTTGAGATCCTTAGGCACTGTTGGGAGGAGGTTTAGCAGCAGTTGTTTTAACACTTTTGCTCGACAAGCTCAACACCACCATTGGATTATCTCTTAATCATCAAGTTCTTTCAGATGAATCTTTTCGGATTGTATCTCTATTTTCTTAAAAAATGCTATTTTTATTCTTCCATTTTTCTGCTTTTAATTGCCTAATGCATAAAATAGGGTATAAATTCAAAAGATTGATTTGGAAGTGGCTAATTCTTATTAATATTTTAAGTCTTCTTTTCCACTAAATTTGTTGTATTTTGCATCATTAGTTACCCTCATTGAAATAGTTGCTTCCAATTTAGTCTCTTAGAAAGTGAAGGTGAACAAAATATAACAAGTCCAAGAGCCCCTCACAATTTTTGTTTCACTTTAATGTTTCTGGATTTACACTCTGGTTATGTGATTTATATGCAGTAATAATTTACAAACAACTGTAGTTACATTTGCAATGAAGAAAAATGAAAGTCACTGTGTGTAAGATGCTCGGAATTAGGGACAAGTAAGAAAACCATTATCGGCTCCACTTTGGCGCTCAAGTGAAATGTGTAGGTATTATTATCAGCTTCCTACTGTTCTTGATTTTTATATTCTAATCATTCTGTTTTTCTTGTTATTATCAGCTCCAATAAATTTGTTTTCTTGTTCAACATTTCGGGGGTTAACTGCCACCTAGTTTTTCCAACTCTTGAATCAATCAGGTAAATTTACTACAAGTTACTATTCTATAGAGTATTATTTTTAATTTGATATAGTATCCATGGTTGAAGGATTGATTTGATTTTTTATATAAAAAATTACCAATAATTGCTATACATATGTAGTAGCTACTATAAATAGAAGTGGAGGTATGAAAATAGGACTGTTAAATATTTTAAGTGCCTTTAAAACGGAGAACTAGTGTAAGGAATTAACAGAGTACTTCTACTTTATCTTTCTTCTAATTTGGAAAACTAGATGTGTTCAAGTCTTCTTGACTTTTGGATTTATGGAAATAATTTAGCTATTTTGACATTGAACGAAAAAGGAAAAAACGATGAAACCCAACTAAAACTACACTTATTGCATTTTTTTTATAAGAACTATACTTATTGCATATTAATAGACAGGTTCTTTGCGGTTTGCTTATTTGATGTTTGCATACAAAGAATAGAGTTGGTAAAAATACTAAAACTATAATGACAGTGAATCATTGGGATAGTGAATGTGAATTATAATATTGGGTATTAATATTGCAGACAATATCATCCACCAACGAGCATAATATTTTAATAGTGAATGTGTATATGAGTCAGTAAAGAAGACTTGGATTTTCAGAAGCTATTTGCCTACTAGCTTCTTGATAAAAAGGACCTTTTGGCTACTTAATCTGTGTTATTTCCTAATCACAGTTGTTTGTTATACAAGTGGGTGCCTTGTTTCTATGATGTTTTAAAGGATTGCTTGGATTTTATTTTTTGAAATTGAGTATCTTTTTTTTTTCTTGTTAGTGAAATGAATGAATGAGGATATAAACAATAACTACATGTAATTGCTCATCCATTTCGCGACATGTTTGATTCTAATGTGAGAAAGCTTACATAATTTACCTTACATTTTGATAGTTAGTAGTTATGTATATATAAACAAAGTTTATGTTGTCACATAGATTAGTTTATGGATGTAAACTTTGTGTTGATATATTAGGAATCGGTAAACTTTCACTTATGTTAAAGCTGTAATGATAAAGTTGAGTTGTAATTCAGAAATTACTACTAATATATTTGCTCCATATTTTTAGCATTTTAATATCTATATATTAATATATATTAAATAGTATTTTAATTTGACTTTTTTTTTTATAAATAGGTGCAGATTCAACTGGAGTCAAGGAAGGTTGTGGACAAGCTAGAATAAGGGTATTGAAAAATAAAGAACTCTTTGGGAGAAAAGATGATATTAGAGATTCTAGTTGGTAAATGGAGGTCAATCAAGGCAATTCCATCAACAGAGCTGTCAAATGAGTGGGGAATAATAGCTCAAAATTTTTGTTCGCTTCCAAACAAGTGGAAAGAACTCACAAGAAAGGAGAAAGATGCAACACCGATTAGATTACATTGTATTTTTTTTTTTAGACAATCATATTTTATTGTAGGACATTAGTTTGTCATAAATATGACCAAAAAAAATAGAATTTGTCCTAGAATTTCCTTATCAATAATATATAATATTTTCTTTGACAATGAATTATCTTTGTATTTTTTACAATTGTAATTGTCACTAATCATGATGATTTATAGTAACGTTTTTGTTTGGTCAGTAAAATTAATATTTTTAGTGACGAAATGATAATTTAACTACGTAATTGTAAACCTTATTTATAAAAGCAGAGTTGTCACTAATTTCTATAATTAGGGACAAAGTATATTTTTGTATATAAAAGGCATTCTTTAGTGACGATATTGCAACTGTTCAACTACGAAATACATATAATCTTATAGACAATTTATGTCGTCACTAATTAGACTAAATAGTTAGTGACAAAGCAGTTTTGTCGGCATTAATGACCTTTTCAGTGACGAAAATGCTCTATCAACTACGAATTTTTTATAGTTTTTTTGACGAACAAGTTCGTCATAAATTCAATTAATTTAGGGACAAAAAATAATTTCGTAGTTAATAGAACTTTTTTTAGTGACGAAACACAGAGTTGTCTTTGTATACTATTGGTGACGGTGTTTTAAGGACGAAAGATTGACAAAATAATTTTTGTCACCAAAGACCTTTTCTGATGAAATATGAATTTTAGGTGACAAAATAATTCATCAGTAATACTCAAATTTGTTGTAGTGTGAGTTGGAGATGGACATTTCTTATCAGCAGGTGGTGAGCATTGCTAGGTGGATTGAGGGTATGCATGCTAGGGAGAAAGAGGAGAGGGAGGCCAAGAGGTTTCGAGAGTCGGGCCATTATTCTGGTGCCCGTACCCCAGCTGCAGGTCATCATGGTAGGGGTTATATGAGTCGCCCTGTTCATTCAGCTCTTCCAGCAGCCAGTGGTATTCCAGCTCCTCCTAGGCCTCAAGAGCCTATTATGCACCTCCGGTTTCTAGCGTGCCTCCGGCGCGGGGTGTCTTTAGAGGTCAGTCCAGCAGACCTGGCCCTAGCCAATCATAGCCACCACGTCCTCCCAGAGCTTCTTTTGAGTGTGGTGACACACGACACATGGTGAGGGATTGCCCTATACTTGGGAGGAGTGCACCTCCACAGACTTCTCAGTCACAGCGTGCCCCGCAGAGTTCTCATGCTATGGTTACAGCTCCAGTTGCTACCCCACCTGCTTAGCCAGCTAGAGGTGGAGGTCGGGGAGGTAGAGGTCGCCCTAGAGGGGGAGGCCAGGCCAGATACTATACTCTTCCTGCCCGTACCGAGGTTGTTGCCTCCGGTTTTGTCATCATAGGTATTATATTGGTTTGTCACAGAGATGCATCGGTTCTATTCGATCCAGGCTCTCCTTACTCTTATGTGTCTTCTTATTTTGCTCTGCATTTGGGTGTATCTCAGGATTCTTTGAGTTCCCCTGTTTATGTTTCTACTCATGTAGGAGATTCTCTCGTCGTAGACCGCGTTTATCGGTCGTGTTTGATTGCTCTTAGTGGTTTTGAGACCAGAGCTGATTTATTGTTACTCAGTATGGTTGACTTCGATATTATCTTGGGCATAGACTAGTTGTCGCCCTATTATACTATTCTTGATTGTCACGCCAAAACTGTGACGCTGGCTATGCCAGGTGTATCCCGTGTTGAGTGGAGGGGTACTTTAGATCACACTTCCAGTAGAGTTATTTTTTTTTTCTTAAAGCTCAGCGTATGGTTGATAAAAGGTGTGACGTGTATTTAGCTTATGTGAGAGATTTTAGTGTTGATACCCCTTCAGTTGATTCAGTTCCAGTAGAACGGGATTTTCCCAATATGTTTCCAGCTGATCTTCCAAGCATGCCGCCTAATAGAGATATTGATTTTGGCATTGATCTATTGTCGGGCACTCAGCCCATTTCTATTCTTCCGTATCGTATGGCTCCTCTTGAGTTGAAGGAGTTGAAGGATCAGTTACAGGAATTGCTTGATAAGGGTTTTATTCAACCCAGTGTTTCACCTTGGGGTGCTCCTATCTTGTTTGTGAAGATAAAGGATGGTTCTATGCGTATGTGTATTGATTATCGCCTGTTGAATAAGGTTACAGTGAAGAACAGTTATCCTTTGCCTCATATTGATGATCTGTTTGACCAACTTCAGGGCGCACGGGTGTTTTCTAAGATTGATTTGCGCTCAGGTTACCATCAGTTGAAGATTCGGGAGCCAGATATCCCGAAGACTACTTTCCGGACTCGGTATGGTCATTACGAGTTCCTTATCATGTCATTTGGGCTGACCAATGCCCCAGCAGCCTTTATGCATTTGATGCACAGTGTGTTCCGGCCGTATCTTGACTCGTTCATTATTGTCTTTATTAATGTATTCTGGTGTATTTCTGGAGTCGCGAAGATCATGAGCAGCACTTGAGGACTGTTCTTCAGACTTTGAGAGAGAAGAAGTTATATGCTAATTTCTCAAAATGTGAGTTTTGGTTGGATTCAGTGGCTTTTCTAGGCCACGTGGTGTCGAGTAAGGGTATTCAGGTAGATCCGAAGAAGATAGAGGCCATGCAGAGTTGGCCCAGACCATCCTTAGCTACAGAGATCCACAGTTTCCTTGGTTTGGCGGGCTATTACCTTCGTTTTGTGAAGGGGTTTTCATCGACTGCAGCCTATATGACCAGGTTGACCCAGAAGGGTTCCCCGTTTCAGTGGACGGAGGAGTGTGAGGCGAGCTTTCAGAATCTCAAGACAGCTTTGACCAGCCCCAATTTTTATATTGCCTATAGGTTCAAGGTCTTATACGGTCTATTGTGATGCCTCGAGGGTTGGCCTCGGAGCGGTGTTGATGCAGGATGGTAGGGTGATTGCCTAGGCATCTAGACAGTTGAAGATACATGAGAAGAACTACCCTGTTCACGACCTTGAGTTAGCTTCCATTATTCACGCCCTGAAGATTTGGCGCCATTATTTATACGGTGTTCCCTATGAGATTTATACTGATCATCGGAGCTTGCAGTACTTGTTCAAGCAAAAGGATCTAAATTTGCGCCAGAAGAGGTGGTTGGAGTTGTTAAAAGACTATGATATCACTATTTTGTATCACCCGGGCAAGGCCAATGTGGTGACCGATGCTTTGAGTCGTCGGGCAGAGAGTTTGGGGAGTTTGGCTTATTTACCAGCATCGGAGAGGCCTCTGGCGATGGATGTTCAGGCCTTAGCCAGCCAGTTTGTGAGATTGGATTTTTCGGAGCCCAGTCGGGTTCTAGCTTGCGTGGTTTCTCGGTCGTCTTTATTTGATCGTATCAGGGAGCGGCAATATGATGACCCTAATTTGCTTGTCCTCAAGGACAAGGTTCAGCACGGTGATGCCAGAGAGGTGACTATTGGTGATGATGGGGTATTGAGGATGCAGGGTCGGATTTGTGTACCCAATGTTGATGGGCTTCGAGAGTTGATTCTAGAGGAGGCCCATAACTCGCAGTATTCTATTCATCTGGGTGCCGCAAAGATGTATCAGGATTTGAGACAGCACTATTGGTGGAGCCGGATGAAGAAAGATATAGTTAGATTCGTAGCTCGGTGTCTCAACTGTCAGCAGGTGAAGTATGAGCACCAGAGACCGGGTGGGTTGCTTCAGCAGATAGAGATTCTAGAGTGGAAGTAGGAGCGGATCGCCATGGACTTTGTAGTTGGCTCCCACGGACGTTGAGGAAGTTTGATGCTATTTTGGTGATTATGGATCGGTTGACCAAGTCCGCTCACTTTATTCTTGTGTGTACTACTTATTCTTCGGACCGGTTGGCGGAGATTTTTATTCGGGAGATTGTTCGTCTGCATGGTATTCCGGTTTCCATCATTTCAGATAGAGGTACCCAGTTCACATCACGGTTCTGGAGAGCTGTTCAGTATGAGTTAGGTACTCAGGTAGAGTTGAGTACAACATTTCACCCTCACACGGACGGACAGCCCGAGCACACTATTCAGATTCTTGAGGATAAGCTCCATGCATGTGTGATTGAGTTTAGAGGGTTTTGGGATCATTTTTTCCATTGGCAGAGTTTGCTTACAACAACAGCTATCAGTCCAGTATTAAGATGGCACCGTATGAGGCTTTATATGGTAGGCGGTATAGATCTCCGGTGGGTTGGTTTGAGCCGGGTGAGGCAAGACTAATGGGCACAGATTTGGTTCAGGATGCTTTGGAGAAGGTTAAGGTGATTCAAGATAGACTCCATACAGCCCAGTCCAGACAGAAGAGCTATGCGGACCGGAACATTCGTGATGTTTCCTATATGGTTGGAGAGTAGGTTCTGCTTCGGGTTTCTCCTATGAAGGGCGTTATGAGATTCGGGAAGAAAGGAAAGTTGAGTCTGAGGTTTATTGGACCTTTTGAGATATTCAAGAGGGTTAGGGAGGTTGCTTATGAGCTTGCCTTACCTCCCAGCTTCGCAGGAGTTCATCTGGTATTTCATGTTTCGATGCTCCGGAGGTATCACGATGATCCCTTGCACGTGTTGGATTTCAGTTCAGTCCAGTTGGACAAGGATCTATCTTATATTGAGGAGCTAGTGGCAATATTGGACAGGCAGGTTAGGAAGCTGAGGTCAAAGAACATTGCATCAGTGAAGGTCCAATGGCGGGGTCAACCGGTCGAGGAGGCGACCTGGGAGACCGAGCAAGATATACGCAGTTGTTACCCTCATCTTTTCACTACTTCAGGTATGTTTCTATGCTCGTTTGAGGACGAACGAATGTTTAAGTGTAGGAGGATGTGACGACCCGGCAGGTCATCTTAAGAATTAACGCCCCGATCCCCTATTAACTGCTTTCCCCAAGTTTATTTCTGCTATTTTGATTTGTCGGGATGTTCGGTTTTGACTTTCGGAGAGTTTTGGGACACTTAGTCCCTAAATGAGAGCTTAAGTGTTGAAAAGTTGACCGTAGTCAGAACAGTATGAATACAGCCTCAGAATGGAAATTTGATAGTTCTGTTAGCTCCGTTGGGTGATTTCGGAGTTAGGAGCGTGTTCGGAGTGTGTTTTGGAGGTCCGTAGCTAATTTAGGCTTGAAATGCAAGAAGTTGACTTTTTGAAGTTTCCGGTTCGATAGTG